CACCCAGGAGTCAGAGACAGGTGGGCCTCTGTGAATTTGAGGCCATCCTGGTCTACAGAGTGAGTTCAGGGACAGGCTCCAAAGTTACAGAGAAACCCTGTCTCAACCCCCCCCCAAAAAAAGAGAGAGAGAGATATCTCAGCAGAAGGGTATGGAAAGAGGGGCTCCCATTTGTCTAAGGCTCCAGAGCAGGCTGTAAAGTTTCAGGAAGAAAGAACTGTTTCCTCATCCAACACTATGAATGTTCCTTGCCTCCCTGTCTGCCTGTACACAAGCTCTCCAGGCATTTGCTGGTTGGTGGTTTAAACCATTGATGATCACACTGCAGATATGTGTCCCTTAGTCTGTTTCTTAAGCAAAGATACTAGGCTATTCTGTTTCTCATAGAAATGTGTATATCTGGTGGGGCTGGACAGATGGCATACCTTTAATTCCAGTGCTCAGGAGGTAGAGTCAGGCAGATCTCTAAGTTCAAGGCCAGCCCAGTCAATTTAGCAAGGACAGCTAGGGCTACATAGTGAGACCCCCATCTCAAAATAAATAATATATACACACCTCAGGAAGCAGGAGGTAGAGGCAAGTGGATTTCTGAGGCCAGCCTGATCTAGAGTGAGTTTGTTCCAGGATAGCCAGGGCTACAAGGAGAAACTCTGACTTGAAAAATCAAAATAAATATAAAATGAGAAAAATTACATATAAACATATGGTGTTTTCTACTTTTACTAGTTATTCACATTATCCAAGTTCCCAGATCCTTGGCCCACACTGGATTTAGTTGTCGTGTCTCTGCAGCTGGCTGTCAGCCCTTTCTTCAAGGACACATTCCAGTTCTGTGTTTGAGGCAGGAAATACTTCACAGTGTGTTCTCTTCATATTTGATGTCATTTCACTGTTGGTGACATTGCCTTTGACCATTTGGTTAAAGCAGCACCTGGGAGGTCCCTCCAGCCCTGTAGGATTTAAAATTGTCACTAGCTGCAGCATATGGAAGAGGCCAGAACAGGAGTGCTGTTGGCATTTGGTGTTTGGGGAGGTGACACTGTTTTGCCCATGGCATGCAATATTTTTTGTTTTTGTTTTTTTGACACTAAAACAAATACACCTGTTTTCTCTTATGTAGCCCTGGCTGTCCTGGAACTTGCTCTGTAGGCCAGGCTGCCCTGCAACTCAGAGACCTGCCTACCTCTGCCTCCCTAGTGCTTGGACTCTGTAGTGATTAATTCAGGGGTACAAGGCTAAGTGACAGCTGGGGCTGGAGAGATGGCTTAGAGATTAACAGCACTGGCCACTCTTCCTGAGGTCCTGAGTTCAATTCCCAGCACACACATGGTGGCTTGAAATATAGGCTGCGGACAGTCGATGCCCAGCAAAGGCTTAACTGTGGTTAAGGTACCCCTGAGTATGGCCCGCCATCATCCCTTGGTGCCTTTGTGGTTTACTGAGTTCCACATGCTTCATCCTTAGGAGGTTTTTGGTTGATTGTTTTGAGAGACAGTCTTACTATATAGCCCTGGCTGGACTAGGACCCTCTACGTAGACCAGGTTGTCTTCAAACTCAGAGAGATCACTTGTTTCCACCTAAGCCTACACCATGCTGGCATTAAAATTGTGAGCACCACCAGGTGGTGGTAGCACGCACCTTTAATCGCAGCACTTGAAGCAGAGGCAGGTGGATCTCTGCAAGTTCCAGGACAGCCAGGGCTAGAGAGAGAAACCCCGTCTTGGAAAAAACACACAGAAACAGAAACTGATCACCATGCCTGGCTAGGTGGGTTTTGTTTGTTTGGATAGGATCTCATGTGCTGGGCTGGCTAGCCTGGAACTCACTTTTTAGTGCAGGATGATGACTTCACCTCCCAAATGCTAGGTTTTCAGACAGGTATTATTGCACTCTGCTTGTCTTAGAAACTTTTCTAGAAGCTTGGCGTTGGTGGCTCACACCCTTAATCCCCGCACAGGCAGAGGCAGTCGGATCTCTATGCGTTCAAGGCCAGCCTGGTCTACAGAGTGAGTTCCAGGACAGGCTCCAAAGCTACACAAAGAAACCCTGTCTTGGAAGAGAGAGAGAGAGAGAGAGAGAGAGAGAGAGAGAGAGACTTTTCTAGAAACTGAACCATGAGGATCATTTATCTTTGATTTTGCCTTTCCTGACACATGGCCAAGCTCAGTGTTCATCAAAAACAGTCATAGCTCTGAGATACCTAGCAAATAAACCCAAAGAGGAATGAAGATCAGTGCTATTTTATGACAGAGCTGTTTTCTTTGAAGGTGTACACGTGTGGAAGTCATAGGACAGTTTTTAAGAGTTGGTTCTCACCTTGTGCCTTGTTGAAGCAGGGTCTCTCACCTCTGCTGCTGTGCTGTGCTGTGCTCTGCTCTGCTCTGCTCTGCTGTGCAGTGTAGTGTACTCCAGGCTGGCTGGCCTGTGACCTTCCAGGCAGTTCTCTCTTTCCCATCTCACTGTAGAAGTGCTGGGATTACAGATATTTGTCACCGCATCCAGCTTCCCATGTGGGTTCTTTGGTTGTTGGTGCTCTCACCCGGTGAGCCATCTCCCTAGTCCATGAGGATTATTTTTGTGGCAAGGAACCAAAACTGCTTTGTGTTGCCAGGTAAGGTAGTACACTCCTTTAATCCTAGGACTTGAGAAGGGAGGTAGAAGGCCAGGAGTTTAGAATAGTTTTGGCTACCTAGCAAATTCGAGACCCTCTTGTCTTAACAGAACCAATCCTTCCCTCTCCAAAAAGAAGAACAGAGACCTGTTTGATGGCAAATGTTTCTCGGAGGGCAAATCTGAATAAGATGAGAGACCCATTCATGCCAGAGTTGAGGATGAAGGGTGGGAAGGAGGGAAGGATAGTGGTGATGACTGTGGCTAGGCAGACAGAGGCTCTGCACCGGGCTCAGTGATGGCAGGAAAGTGGGATCAGTTCTTAGGAAGTAAGGTCCCTGTCAAGCGTTCCTGTTCCTTCTTTGTGGTAAAATATACATCAAAATTTCCATTTTAATCTTTCACGTGCTGTTTTTAGCACACCATCCTGTGGCATTAAATACATACATCTACACGTTTTCCAGAGCTGTGACGCCTTCCCAGCTGAAATTCTGTGTCCATTCCACGTAACTCTGCCATGCTCCTCCGCTTCAGCCCCCGGCACTTTCCACTCTGTTTCCTATGTCTGTTAAATTTGTAGTTATAGAATATTTGTTCTTTCTTGTGTAGCTTATTTCATTTAGAATGTCTTCAAAGTTTATCCATGTCAAAGCACAAAAGAATTACATTCTTTTTAAGGTCTAAATGATATCCCAAAATATTTCATTTTTATGAGTCCATTCATCCAGTGATGTGCTTTTTAATTTCTGAACCTTTATGTTTATTTGATGTGCATGTTTTGCCTGCATTTTGTCTGTACACCTGTGCATACAGCGCTATGGCAGCCAGAAGAGGATGGCGGATCCCCTTGGACTGGAGTTAAAGAAGGTTGTGAACTACCATGTGGGTGCTGGGAATTGAACCCCAAGTCCTCTGGAAGAGCTGCCAGTGCTCTTAACCATGAGCCATCTCTCCAGCCCCCATATACACAAAATTTTTAAAAATAAGGACTGGCCCAGGTGGTGGTAGCACACGCCTTCAATCACAGCGTTCCAGAGGCAGATGCAGGTGGATCTCTGTGAGTTTGAGGCTAGCCTGGTCTATAAGAGCTAGTTCCAGGACAGCCGAAACTGTTACACAGAGAAACCCTGTGGGAGGGGCGGGGGGGGGGACTGGAAAGATGGCTGGGTGGGTAAGAACAGGGGTTACTCTTCCAGAGGACCTAGAGTCAATTTCTAGCACCCATGACATAGTTCACAACCATCCATAGCCTCAGTTCCAAGAGCTCCTACAACCATCTTCTGACCTCCATGGGCACCAGACACACATGGTAAACGCACATTTATACAGGCAAAATGTTCATACACAAAACAAATCTAAAAAGATTTTTAAAATGTATTTGTGTATGGGTGGAGTGGGAGCGGTTCCCTGTGAGTGCAGTGTGGGCAGAAGACAGAAGAGGGCGTTACAGCCTAGAGCTAGCGTTTACAGGAAAAGTTATGGACCTGTCAAGTGATCCGTTTTTTCTGCATCCCCACTGACACTTGTAATTTTCTATGTTTTGTTTTCAATAATAGCCATTTATTGGGAAGTACAGAAATTTTAAAGCCTAAGTTAGACCACAAAGAGAACTTTCTTTTTGGGGCAAGAAGAGCTCAGCATTCAAGTGTTTACGGGATGCTTCATCCATCCTCATCACAGGCTTCCCAGAAGTCTAAAGCTCTTCAGGTCAGCCCAGAAGCTTGTCCCTGACCTCTGCTTCTGACCTACTGGCTTCTCCCCTGCAGGTGCCTGGCTGCAACAAGCCATGCTCTGAGCCATGCCCAGGCCGGGACAGCCTCGCCCATCGTCTGGGCCTCCACGGTTGGGTCCCTGGGAGAGGCCAACAGAATTATGCCTGGAAACCAATGATGAGCGCTCCCAGCCCCCACCAGGCCGCCGCACCCGCAGGCCAGACCCCAAGGACCCTGGCCACCATGGGCCAGAAAGTATCACCTTCATTTCAGGCTCTGCAGAACCGGCAACCGAGCCCCCAACCTGCTGCCTCCTCTGGCGACCTTGGGGGTGGGACTGGTGCAGGGCTGCCTTCTGCTTCCGCCGCTGCAGGGATTGCCTGCAGCGCTGTGGGGCTTGTGTGCGGGGCTGCAGCCCCTGCTTATCTGCTGGGGACCCCACTGAGAGATCTACGGAAGCCACCTGGGTCAAGGAGCACAATGGCGTGCCGCCCAGCCCGGACCATGCACCCCCCAGCCGCCGGGATGGCCAGCGGCTCAAGTCCAGCATGGGCAGCAGCTTCAGCTACCCTGACGTTAAGCTCAAGGGCATTCCGGTCTACCCCTACCGCCATGCCACCTCCCCAGTCCCTGACGCGGATTCCTGCTGCAAGGAGCCCCTGCCCGAGCCTCCTCCAACGCGGCACAGCCTGCCCAGCACCCTCCCCAGCAGCCCCCGCGGCTCCGAGGAGTATTACTCCTTCCACGAGTCGGACCTGGACCTGCCCGAGATGGGCAGTGGCTCCATGTCGAGCCGGGAAATCGACGTGCTTATTTTCAAGAAGCTGACCGAGCTGTTCAGTGTACACCAGATCGATGAGCTGGCCAAGTGCACGTCGGACACCGTGTTCCTGGAGAAGACCAGCAAGATCTCAGACCTGATCAGCAGCATCACACAGGATTACCACTTGGACGAGCAAGACGCCGAGGGCCGCCTGGTGCGTGGCATCATCCGCATCAGTACCCGCAAAAGCCGCTCCCGCCCACAGACCTCCGAGGGGCGCTCGGCCCGCTCTACAGCCCCTGCCACTGCCCCCGACAGTGGCCATGAGACCATGGTGGGCTCTGGCGTCAGCCAGGACGGTAAGCGGGCCCAAGAAGGGAAGCTCTGGCTTATAGGAGGTTGGGCTGGGTTCTTGGCCCACTGAGAATTGTGGGGGACAGGCAGACTGTCCCCCATTGCACTTGTCCCCAGTATTTATTTATTTACTCACTTATTGCATCTGTCAGAGTCCTTCTACCCCTAGAACTACTTGACAGAGCAGCTCCCAAGCCTGGCCTAGATAAGGACCCAAAACTCAAGAATTTGGACCTCTGCCTTCAACAAGAAAGGCTAGTGATAGGAGTTCATACTTGTACTCCCAGAACTCTAGAGGCTGAATAAAAATAGAAAAAAAAAAAAAGATCTCCCAAGTGTTACAGGCCAGCCTGGGCTAGAGAGACCTTGTTTCAAAAACAAAACAAAACCAAGAATTTGCACCACTGACCTGGCCTAGCCAAAGTCCCAGCTGCGCCCACACATCCTTGTTTTAAGCATTTCTCTAGCCTGTGTACGTACAGTAAGCACCCTTCTTCACTGAGCTACAAGAAACAGGGACTGAACTTTATAAAATATGATAATGACCACTGCTTACTCATCCCCTCCCTAGAACTGACAGTGCAGATCTCCCAGGAGACAACAGCAGATGCCATCGCCAGGAAGCTGAGGCCATATGGAGCCCCAGGTGTGGTCCTGACCTAACCAGAGGGTGGGAAACTATACTAGGGGCCCTTTGGGTGACCTTCCAGCTTCCTTTGGGGGTGGGTGAGGATGGGCCAGCCTGGTCTCCAGAGCAAGTGCCAGGATGTGCTCCAAAGCTACACAGAGAAACCCTGTCTCAGGGGGGAAAAAAAAAAAAAAAAGTGATGGCGTAGTAAGGTGGAGAGAAGGCCATCCAGTCTGCAGCTTCAGAAACTCTCCTTATGGTTTCTGCTGCTATCCTCTGGGCCTTCACCACCCCTAGGAGCAAGTCATTATCCTTTTACAGATAGCTGCGGGGGTTTGAACATCAGGAGTGGGTTGCAAAGGCTGTTAACAGCTGACCAGGCTCAAGCCCTGCTCTGTTCCCTGGCTTTAGGCCCTTGGCGAGCTCCTTCCCCTCTCTGAGCCTCTGCTTCCTCCTCCAACCAGGGTACCCAGCCAGCCAAGACTCGTCCTTCCAGGGCACGGACACAGACTCTTCAGGGGCACCCCTGCTGCAGGTGTACTGCTAACCCCTACTGGCCCAGCAGTCATAGCCTCCTTGGAAGAAGCATAGCCAGTGGAGTTGAAGAAGCAGGACCTCTGTGTGGAGGCCAGATCCTGAGCCCAGAAACAGTGACCTCTGGCTTCTGCTTTCATTGAATGATATAGACCACGTACATTTCACAGGGCCATGGTGCCCGTGCTCTGCTTCTCCAGCTGGACTGACCACTGCCTGGGCCTGCTTCTTCCTGTGGCCTGAAAGCAAATCCTCGGGAAGTCACTTCCCAGTTCCATTCCCATGGCACCCTAAGCAATTGTGGAAACTACACAGGTTGGGTTGGGGACAGCATGGTCTCTATATGTGATTATCTGGGCAGTGCCCACTTGTTATATTGCTGAGCAGTTCCTACTGGATCTTGGCTGTTCTATATTGTTAACATGACCACAGTTGCAAGTATACACACATGTGGGTCCTCAGGGTTAGTTAAATGGCCTTCCTGTGCCATTTGCCCCAACTACTGTTCAGCATTATGGAGAAGAGCAAGGTTGGAGCAAGACAGACTAGCTTCACTTCCAAAAGAAAAAGAACACTATGGCGGCTTTGTCTGGACTGCCATTCCCCCAGTCCATTGCTTCTGGCCACCCTTCAGTTTTAAGTACCTCATCACTTGTCAATGACCCCTCACCTCTCCCTGGAGCTAATACAGCACTCTGATTTTCACCTTATCTTGCTCTTACTGGCAACTTGAGGGAGCCTCGTGTTCAAGACATCCTTGTAGCTAGCAACTAGCACACTTGGGGGCTGAGCTCATTGAGTCAAAAACGGGCTCCCCTTGTTTGGGCACAGGGCTCACTCCATCCAGGGCCCTTCCTTAGCTGCTCTTTTCAGGTGCTGGCTCAGGAAGTTCTACAATCACAGCTACTTGAGAGGGTGAGGCAGGTCACAAGGACAGGGTACGCTAAGTTTGTGGGTTTAAAGTCAACTCCTTACCACAGAGTAAGGCCCCATCTTAAGTTTCAGCTAGCCCAGTGACCACAGGCTAGCAAAGGGAGCTATTTCCCAGCTTCCTTTAATGACCTTTTTACTGTCTGTTGGGGGCACCCTTTTGGAAAGTGGTGACTTATCATTTATCTAGTTTCCTAAGAGATACAGCAGATGGTCCCCTGGGGCTGTGACAACAGGCCCTCAGTAGAGCTATAACAATCAAACTGGCCCTTTTTTTGGGAGCTGCTGTGTTATCCAGATATAGGCATAAATAGAATAACCAGGTAGGGGTGCAGCTTGGTGTTGCCTAGCATGTGTGTGGGATCCTGGCTTTGATCTCCACCACTGCAAGAGGAAAAGGGTGTGTGTTCACCTCTAATCCCACCTAGAAAACTGACAAGAGGGTCACTAAGTTCAAGGCTAACCAGGGATACATACCAAGATTCTGCCTCAAAAAGGGGTACAGTACCCACACACCATCCCTAACTTCAGTTCCAGATAATCTGATGCCCTCTTCTGACTGCTATAGGCACCAGCCACATACATGGTGCATATACATACATGCAGGAAAACATTCACATTAATCTGTATTTTTTTTTTTTTTAAGGAAAAGATTATGGACGGGAAACCAGAGTAAGAGTGTTAACAGTCCCTAAACTTTAGCCTTGGCCTAGAAGCCAATTTCCCAACAGCTTTGTGAAGTATTGTTTGTATTCCCAGAAAAGGTTTATCAAAACAGCTGGGTACTTACTTTAGCCTGCCCAGCCCCTGCACTCAGTGACCCCCACCCTCTAGAGGAAGCAAATGTGGACAGAAATGTCTCCTTAGCCCTTTACTGCATAGGGGCTGGCTCTGAGGAGCAGGTCAGAGACAAATGGTGGGGCTCCATTGGACTGTACCCCACCTTCCCAGCTCTCACCCTCAGGTAATGTCCACCTGGCTCTATTACTCTTCTGTCTCTGCACATAGTCCAGTCTGAATACTTGACTCTGGAACTGGGCTCCTGGTGATGTCTAAGCACAGCTGCTTTACATGTTGTTGGGTCTTGGTCCCTTTGGGAATCTGGCCATAAAGAATCACCTTCACTCAGAACCACACATGTGGCAGGGGAGGTGGCTCAGAGTGGCAAGGCACACAAGTCTGGCAATCTGAGTTTCATCCCTGGAGCCCACATAAACATGGAGAGAAGTGACCCACAACGTTGTCCTCTGAATTTCACACGTGTGCTATAGAATGTCTACACACAACACACGGTAACAACTACCAGGGCCGAGTGGTGGGGATGCATACCTTCAATCCCAGAACGAGTGAGGCAGAGGCAGGTTTATCTGAGTTCGAGGCCAGCCTGGTCTACAAAGGGGGTTCCAGGAAATTCCAAGATACAGAGAAACCCTGTCTCATTATAAATAAATACATAAAACCTGTGTCATAGTCCTCCCTATGTCATGGAGGGTAGAGGTGGGGGCTGAGAGCCAGAGTCAGGAACCTGGCCTAGTAGGTAGAATTCTACACAGCAAATCTGGGCTAGAAGCCAAAACCCCAGCTCTCTGCAGCAGCCAAGGAGGGGCTAAAGGGAGGACACAAATGGAGCAGGATAAAGAGCTTTAATGTGTAACAGGCCAAATGGGGAGGAGAAGACCCCAAGACCCAGCCCATGTCCGGTGAAGCCCTGGAGCTCACATGCCTAGGATGTCCCATGCCTGCCCCAGCCCTAAGGTTCCAAGGTCCCAGGAAAAGGGGGGAAAGGAAGTTTAGGGGCTCCAGGCAAAGAGTGCAGGAAGGCAAACACAGGAGCTAGTTGAATTTGGCTTTGGAGAAATCCATCTCTGGGTGCTGATCCATGAACCTGGGAAGCAGAAATGTAAGAGTGAAGGGAGTTGTACACTCTAAGCTAGCCTGCTATTTCTATTCTTGACATTGGGCCTAACCTCCTCAGAACCCTGAAAACACTGGGCTAAGCCACATGGGGCCTCAGATAGCTGAAGCCTGTTTGAGCCCTCGAGGCTGGGAGTGGGACGGGCCAGCAGTAGCACCAGTTTCCAGTAGGTGGCAATGACCACCTCTTACCTATTGCTTCCTACTCTTAAGGTAGCCTTGTCCTGGAGATGACCCTGGCAGGTGGTCAGCACAGGCAAGCCAAGGCCACAGAACCATGAACTTGGCTGGCTGTGCTGGAAGTGGACAGGACAGTCTAGAGTCCCATTCAGTATTTGGTGATACCTTGTTTCTCTGACCCCCAGATGGGCTTTATTTGTAGAAGCAAGATATTAATTACCACACTGTTATCTCCCAGGCCTAAGTCCCCAGAGCAATCCTCCCTGACCCTGAGTTACTTACTTCTTCAGGATTTCCTGTTTCTTCTGTTCATCAGAGGTGGGCAATCCCATGGACTTCTGCCTTTGGTCATACATCATTTTTTCCACCATGCTGCGAGTCTCACTGTCCAGGTCTGACAGCTAGAGAGGCAGGGAGAGGGATGAAGCAAGCACTGGACCAACTAGCCCTCAACTTCTACAACAAGCTTCCCAGCCAACCGGGACTCACAACAAGCTTCCCAGCCAACCGGGACGCACCTTGGAGTTCTCAGGATTAATCTTCTTGGTATTGATTTCGGGGTCACTGGTAACCAGGCGGTTCCACCATTCCATTTTATTGATCTGAGAGGAGGAAGGTTTCCAATGGGGAAACAAAGCTCTGTGACTCAGGAATTATACCTCAATCCCTTTAGAACTAAACTCCCTCCCATCCACATCTTGTATCCAAGCCCCATGCAGGCCTGTGCTGGGAGCAGGGTACAGAAGATCTGGACCTCTATCCACCCAGCAGCCAGGGGAAGACACAGGCCAGCAGTTACAAATCAATGCATCAGGGCAAGCCAGTGTGCCGTGGCCACTCCATGGAGGAGAGGCTAGCGTAACTTAAGGTATTAGCAGTAAACAAGAAGGAAGGGAAAAGAGCAAATAAGAAAGGAGACTCTGGCTGGGAGGAAACCCCGTACAAGGGCAGAGTGAGCAGCAGCCGAGTCACCTTCTGTGCCAGGGGAAGCTTGGACTCTTGGCCCTTTGCAGACACCACCTTTATTTACCCCAGTAAATACCCTACCTCTAGGAAGACAATGTGGACTCTATGAGGGCAAATTCTTCTACCATCTGTTCACTGTTCTCCAGTCCTGAGAACAGTGCCTGGCACACAGTAGGTGTTCAAGCATGTGTGGAACTGAACCCACGTGCAAGCATGATGGGAAGGAACAGGATTGACACAGAAGACCTGACTCTGCCTGCCCTGCCCTAAGCAAGCCACACAGCTGAATCCAAGCTGTTTCCTGACTACAAAGCAAGGGCGGAGTGAGGAGTGAGCCCCGAAGGCCCGCAACACTGTCAGAGGAAGTCAGTCCGCACCCTGGCCAGGCAGCGCCTCTCGTACCTTCTCCAGATGCACCGTCACCACCTTGCCGTCTTCAATGAGCCACGAGCTCTCCTCCACCTTTACTTCATTGTACAGCTCTCCGTCAATCACCGGCGGCTGCCCCTTGAGGCCCACCCGGAGGTGCCGCCGCTGGATGTCCACCACCACATCCTTCCCTTTCAGCCGGAAGCTGACTCGGAAGGGCACAGCCAGATCTAGTTCCGACAGGGTCTGGGTCCAGCGGTAGTTGGGCAGGTCAGCCCCGTTGCCCAGGTTGGGCTTCAGCTTCCCTTTGTCCTTCTCATCTTCCTCCTCCTCCTCTTCAGCATCCTGCTCACAGTCAGAGGTGCTCAATGACTTACCTGACAGACCAGACTTCCACCAGGCCAGGCCCAGAACTGCCACTGGACACAACAGCCACAAGAGAGCAGACCTAAGCATTGCACACCTACACACCCTGGGTCACTGGGAACCAAAGGTAAAAACCAATCCTGAAATGTATCCTGTGAGAAAGGATATGGCAGAGCTCACTGCCCCGCCCCTCAGCCCACCCTTCCTGGTGCCCTCTGACTTGTGAGCGGTTTTCAGAGATATTTTGCCAGCATGCATGCATGTGTACCGTGTGCATGCCTGGCACCCACAGAGTACAGAAGAGGGCATCTAACTGAAGTTAGAGATGGTTGTGACCATGTGGGTGCTGAGGACCAAACCTGGGACCTTTGCAAAAGCAACAAATGCTCCTAACCACTTTTCAGCCCACTTGTGGGTTTTCTTGTCCCAGGATTAAGGCCAATCATCAAAAAAATTATCACCATCATCAACGGCATCTCTCTACATAACCCTGGCTGCCCTGAAACTCAGAGATCCGCCTACCCCTGCCTCCTGAGTGCTAGGATTAAAGGCTCGTGCCACTATGGCTGGGTTGAAGAAAAAAAAAAAAAAATTTTAATATTTTTGAAATAGGTTCTCGGGGGCTGGAGAGATGGCTCAGTGGTTAAAAGCACTGACTGCTCTTCCAAAGGACCCTGGGTTCAATTCCCAGCAACCACATAGCAGCTCACAGCTGCCTGTAATTCCAGTTCCAGGGAACCTGACACCCATGGCAAAAAAAAAAAAAAAAAAAAAAAAAAAACACAAAAAAAAAAATTTAAAAAAAAAAAAAAAAGGTTCTCACTATATAGCCCATATTTACACCAATTTTTCTGACTCAGCTCCCTAAATGCTGAGATTACTGGTGTGGACCACCACACTAGTTCTGTTTTCAATGTTTGGGAAGAGTCCTCAAGGCTGGGGGCAGGAGAGGGGAGGAGAGAATCCCGTTGAAGGGAGGAAGCTGGTGCCAGGTCTATCTTACCTGTTTCCCAGGTGAGTCGAGACTGCCATTTTTGAGTTGGACCTCATGATTCTCTGCATCCTTTTTCTGTGACAAAGGGTACACAGTTGGAACAGAGCCCTACTTCCCAGGACTGATGCAGTCAGGGAGGGGGCAGAGGAGGGACACTCGGCCTCACCCGATCAATCTCCAGCTGCAGCCTCTCGGCCTCCTCATCAGTCAGCTCCTTGATCTGCGGCCCAGGAGTCTCTGCCTTGGCCTCCTTGGCCAGCCTGGCTGCCCGCTCTGCCTTCTCCTGACGTTCAGTCTCCTGCCGAGCTCGCTTCTCTCTCCGAGCCTTCTGTGCCAGCTGGTTGTGGTGGTTAAAGGTCTGCGTGATGAGCTGGGGAGGGCAGTGAAACATCAGAGCAGGGACAGTGTCTTAAGGCCTAGGGACAAAGCCCTGCTCACCTCTGCCTTGCAACTGGTGCCAGGTACACAGCTGTGCACTGGTGAGGAGGGTGCTGGTACTGCTTCTGTTACAAACAGATCTCAAGCTCAGTCCCTTTAAGAAGCCTGCCCTAGCACCCAGGTCTACATTTCCTGTTCCTTGGCTGTCTCTCTGCCCCAGATGGCAGCACTCAAAGTCACACTCAGAATCAGCAAGTAGACCCCTCCCCTCCCAAGGGAAGAATCTATTTTCCTTCCTAAACAGAGAACTTCCAATTTCAAGTTCTTTCATGTCCATTGAGCAAGTATCCCATGATGCTTTAACCCCAGGACCTGCTAGATGTCCTCCCTGCCACCCAGGACTCCCCGCCTAGCACCTGCCACAGGTCTGAAGAACGACCTGAGTCATCTCAGTCTCTCTGTAAACACAGCCTCGGCAAATGCTGTTCTCACCTAGAATGAGCTCTTTGTCTTACTGGTCAGTCTCCAGGACCAGCTCAAATGTCTCTAGCCGACTCTGAACAGACCCTACTGCAACTCTGTGGCCACCCACACTTCATACAAAGTGCATACCTAAGGAGTCCCCAGGGCAACCACCCCGTGATCAGTGCTCAATGAACCATATTCCAAGCACGTCTGCACCTAAGCTGGAAGGAGGCGCAGTCACAGAAGTCTCCTATACCCAAGGTTCTGTCAAATGTCCCCAGACTCATTCATCTGTGACCCTCCCTTCCAATCCCCAGCCCCATGCCTCACTGAGATAGCTTCAGACTTTGCAAGCAAAGAAGACACCACAGTGCCAGCAAGCTTAAGAGTAATGACGGGGGGTTGGAGAGATGGCTCAGTGGTCAAGAGCACTCGCTACTCTTCTATAGGATCCAGATTTCAATTCCCAGCACCCACGTTACAGCTCATAGCTGTCTGTAACAACTGTTCCAGGAAATCTGATTGCCACATACAGACATACATGCAGGCAAAACACCAATACATATAAAATAAAATAAGTAAACTATTTCTTTAAAAAGGAGTAATAATGGGAGTGAAAGAAACAAGGAACTCAGAGGCCATGCTGCTGAGGAGAGAAACAGGTCATGAAGCAACTGCAAGAGACTGTTCCACCAAAGGGCCTTGTCCCCAGTTTCTAATCAGGGGGACCTTGAACTCAAGCCATTTGACAATCACTGGCCAAGGAGGGACAGGAACAGGGCCCTCCCTCTTCTAGCCCCATAAATCATGTCACAATCCACTTGTCCTATTACTTCCTAGCCACTGGAGGTTAAAAGAGGACAGACACGAGCCACCAGGCAATATCAAAGCCAACCAGAACAGCCTCTGACCCTTCTTGCCAGTCCCCTCCCACCATAGGCTAGAGGTGGCCTATGCAGCAGAGGTTGTAGAGGTCTCTAGTCAAGCTTCAGCCACTGACACAGGGTTAGGAGCCACAGGCTGGCAGGCGGGACAGAGTGAGGTATTCTGGACCTGGTGGGTTGAACACAGGTGTTTTTTCTTTTTTTTTTTTTTTTTTTGGGGGGGGGGGGTGGTCTCGAACTCAGAGAGATCCGCCTGCCTCTGCCTCCCAAGTGCTGGGATTAAAGGCGTGCGCCACCAACGCCCGGCGAACACAGGTGTTTTCTTAACAGAACTGATGGGGATAAGAATGGTTCCTAGTCTGGAAGGGCACACTGCAGAGCCACTTATGCCTAACCCAAAGAAAGGCCGAGAGCCTGACCTTGATCACTCTCAGGGTTAGTAACACTTGACAAGCAAAGGACCACAGAGGGATGCTCAGGGTAGCAGTGGACCACAGAGGGATGCTCAGGTTACTCAGGGTAGCAGTGGACCACAGAGGGATGCATCATCTGGTCAGGGTGCTCAGGGAGACAGTGTCCTGTTGATTCTGTCTTTTGGCCCTGCCTACCCCACCATCTGTCTCCCTTTCCCAGATTGTGTTAGAGCCGCATACCTGGCTCCTGTCCTTTCTCAACTTTCAAGTTGCCCCACAGGCCCCAGATTTCTCAGCAAGGATATGCCTAGAGTTGGGATGGGAGAGATACAGAGCCAGCAGCCTTTACCTAAGGAACAGGCAGAACCAACATGGCTTCTCTCCACCCTTACCTGTTGTGGGATATTTGTACACTGAAGACGTGTCATTGTGATTGGTTTAATAAAGAGCTGAATTTCCAATAGCTAGGCAGGAGAGAATATGCAGCAATTCTGCGGAGAGAATTCTAGGAAGGAGAGGCAGGGAGATGCCAGGGAAACTCTGAAGTTGGACACACGGTACAGAGCAGAAGTGACTGAGCCACGTGACAAATGTAGATTAATACAGACAGGTTCATTTAAGTTAGTTTTAAGAGCTACTTAAGGAAAAGCCTAAGCTAAGGCCAAGCTTTCAGAATTAATATTAAGTCTCTGTGTCCTTACTTGGAGGCTGCCAATCCAAAGATAGTCAGACAAGGAAGCTTGCTACACTCCCACACCCCACAAACCAGTACCCCAGCAACTTTCTCCTAGGAAGCTCCTCATTTTGAGTGATAACTGTCATCCAAGTGACCAAGGCAGAGCAAATAGTCACCCATGAAGACCCACCTGGTACCAGCCTTACACAGAATGGCCCACTACTTCCTAGCACGCAGCCTATGCGCTCAGCCTCTGCCCAGGTCCTTCTATCTGGCCTGCAAAGCGAGCGAGCGAGCGTGCGTGCGTGCGTGCGTTTGTGTGTGTGTTCATGCAACTTTTTCTTTTAGTAACTTCCACAGCTCTTCATTTACTATTGTTGCTTCCTTTACTTGGGACAGCCTTGTTTGGTCCAGGGCTAGCCCTGCCCCATTGAGGTGGCTTTCAGGGCACCTTTTGTTTCTTACCAAGTCAAATTCCCTGTCTTGTGAAGAACAAGGCCCCTGACCTGCACCTCACCCTGCCATCAGCACCTCCTCACTTGAGTGGCATCATGACGACTATGCCCATGCCCTCCAGAGACAGATGATACCTCTCTTTGTAGCAGTTCAACCATTTTTCTGAACGCAGGGGAATTTTACAAGACACCTCTTTTTTTTTTTTTTTGAGACTGGGTTTCCCTGTGTAGCTTTGGAGCCTGTCCTAGAACTCGCTCTTGTACACCAGCTGGTCTCGAACACACAGAGCTCTGCCTGCCTCTGCCTCCCAAGTGCTGGGATTAAAGGAATGCACCACAACCACCCGGCAGTACAAAACACCTTTCATTAAGCTGCTAACTAGGAAGTATATCTATTCAAACATTTATAAACAAAGGAAGCAGGGAAGGCTAACCTAAGTAAGCTAGGTAGAGGGAATCAGGGAAGAAGGTGACAATAGCCTGACAAACTCCCAAGATGGAAGCTGACAGCAGTTTACACGGGGCCTGATAGGGAGGCTCATGCTAGGATCAAAAGCAAAACAAGCCTGTGTCCTGTAACAGATATCCCTCTTGATTGACTTGGTAACAACCCTGGAACATGTTTACTCAAGCCCATGAGATTTTTTTTTTTGGTTTTTTGACACAGGGTTTCCCTGTGGCTTTGGAGGCTGTCCTGGAACTAGCTCTTGTAGACCAGGCTAGTCTCAAACTAACAGAGATGCGCCTGCCTCTGCCTCCCGAGTGCTGAAATTAAAGGCGTGCGCCGCCACGCCCGGCAATGAGTAGAGAAAAAACCCACCTCGTGAGTCACCTTGAAAACATACTAGTAATTATTCTGAAAGCAGAAACATGGGCTCTTCCTGCACAGAAGCAAAGAGTGAGTGATGGGAAGCTTCTCCAGATAAAGGAAAGAGGTAGAACAATGATAGGTCCATAGGTATAGGCATGACCAAGAACTGACAGCGCCAGAGAGAAACCACTTCTGTCTATCTACAGTGTAGTTCTAGGGAAGAAAAAGAAACCCTGCACCCGCAAGGTGGACGTGAGCTACAGTAAAGAAACCAAGTCTTTGTCCCAGGTTCCCGGCACAAAACTCCTAAGTCCTTGGTACTTCCAAGCGGATGGATCTTGATAGGAAGAATCTTGATAGACTTGATAGACCTGTCTGTTAGAATCCCATCTCATAGCTCAGGACTGGTAGACTGCTAGGAAGACTCAGCAAGAACTGAGGCTGGATCTTACAAGCCACTCCCCAGTGGGCTTTTAGTTTAAGATCTCATGCTGGGCATGGTGGTGCACGCCTTTAATCCCAGCACTCGGGAAGCAAAGGCTGGTGGATCTGAGTTTGAGGCCAACCTGGTCTACAGAGCGAAACCTCATCTCGAAAAACAAAAACAAGTTTAAAAAAAAAAAAAAAAAAAAAGCCCTACTTATGCGCATCCGCATCTCTGAGCTGGTGTTCACAACCGAGTCCAAGTGGGCAAGAAGGCTGGGCGAGGGCGTCAGATCCCAGGAAGCTGGCTACATGCAACTGTGAGCTACCTGATTCGGGTGCTGGGAGCAGCTGCGGCCAGCCCTCCCACACAGCCTTCTCTTCCAGCCCCGCCCACCTCCTGCTTATTCTGAATAATGTTTGTCACCAGAAATGGAGGCATGTGCAACCGAATCTTCCCTATCGTGCCCAGAAATGGAACTGCTGGGCACGGTGATTCTATTTTTATTCTCCAGGTGACTCCAGGCTCTTTGCCATAGTAGATGAGCCACCTGACATCCCCTCTGGCTGTGCCCAGTGATCCCAACTTCTGCACGTCTTTGTCACTTTTCAAGTGTACCAGCTGGTCTCGAACTTGCAGACTTAAGCCACCCTCCTGCCTCAGCCTCCACAGTAACCCTGTGTAGCACCATCACACACAGCTTTTCTTGTCTTTCTGATGGAAGCTGTTCAAGTGAGTCCCAGGTAGGAGCTCGTTGTATCTTGGCGGAAAGGGGGAGTAGAGTTGTCTGACAAGGGTCTAATGATGTAGCCCAGTTGACTATACAGCCAAGGATGGCCCTGAGCCACCATCTCCTAAGTGCTGAAATGACAGGCCTGGACTGCTGCGTGATTTTTTAAATTTTTGCTTTCTTTTTTGTGATGGCGACACATACCACAGTTCTGAATTCACTGTGTAGCACAGGCTGGCCTCCAAATGTAATGTCTGTCTACTCATCTCCAGCCAGGTAATTGGCAAAAACCCTGTGGGGTGGAGGGTGATTCGGAGACAGAAAGCAAACCTACAGCAGACAGTCTCCATGGTGTTTCTACAGTTCCGCTCAGGACTCTGCAGAGTGTAAAACACCCCTGAGTGAACTTTCTCACCCATCAAATGGGGACGGCTGACACCCATGAAACTACTCAAGAGCCACAGGAAGTTCATGGACAAAGGACCATTCCAAGAGTGGGTCCTGGGTGACAGCTCATTCCCCTTCCAAGCCCCCATCCTGCTGGCATCCTGCTCCTGCTTAGACGAGCCAGGCCAGGCTTGTCTCCCAGCAACAGATCCACCCAAGGAAAAGGAGTCCCCAGCACTCACCTTCTCTGCCATCCCCTCTTCTCCTCCAACGAAAAAGTCCGTTTTGCGTCGAAGGAAGCTGAAGAAGGTGTTCACAAGCTGAAAGACAGGGGTGGAAACTGAGGCCTGGGGCTCAGCGTGGGGCCTCAGCTGCAGACAAAGTTTCAGTTTAAGAGAGAATCTCAATTTGAATCTTTACTTCTGAAGCTCCCACCTAACAGCCAGCCTCTCCACCAAGTCCCTTCAGTTCCTGAGAAGCCCGAAATTCAGGAAGCTGAGGCAGGAGGATCATGGGTTTACTTCTGGTCTGGTTCAGCTCTCTGGTGAGACTCTGTCTCAAAAGAGCAGAGAGTACTTTTATTTCCCAGTGTTGTTTTAGTTTTTTCCTGTTGCTGTTACTAAAAGCAAAAATGGAAAACCTGGGGGCTGGAGAGATGGCTCAGTGGTTAAGAGCACTGGCTGTTCTTCTAGAGGACCTGAGTTCAATTCCCAGCACCCACATGGCAGCTAACAACTGTCTATAACTCCAAGATCTGATACCCTCACACAGACATGCATGCAGGCAAAACACCAATATATATAAAACAAAAATAAGTATTTTTTAAAAAATGGAAACCTGAGAAAAGCAGGGTGACAGTAACATGAATCTTTGCTGTCAGCACCTGGGAAGCAGAGGCAGGCAGATCTTACGGAGTTCGAGGCCATCCAGGATAGCTGGGGCTATAACACAGAGAAATGGGGAAGCGGGGGACATGGGACATCGGGACACCACAGTAAGTCACTGTAGGGAGAAAGGGTCTATTTTGGTTTATAGTCCAGGATTTGGTCCATCACAGACAGAAGAGCTGAAGAGAAACTTGGGGCAGATGGTCATATGGTATCCTCGAGAAGCTGAGCACAATGAATGCTAGGACTCTTTCTCTACACAGTAAACCCTTGGCAGTGAGTGTCTGGCACAGAAAGGGAGATGGGCTAGAGAATGGCAGACTCTTCGTACATAAGACTCAGGAGCCATGGCTCAGAGTACAGAGGGTCACCAGCTGATGATGGTAGGTACCTTAGGGCTTAGACTTCATCTTGGTACAACAGCAGCATGCACCAAGTAGAAATAGAATCTATTTGGTCTTTCTTGGACTATGTGTACAGATGGTGTCCTGCAACCCTAGGCAGCCAGAGTCAGCTCCCAGTCCGATACTACACCACAAAAGCAAACCACCAATACCCTACATTGCACTATATTGCTAAGCTGTAATGTTCGGAAGGTTCTGTTATCAGACTTTCCACTTACATTTTCAGCCTTTGGTAGTTGTTTTGAGCCAGGATTTCTCTGTGTAGCTCTGGCTGTCCTGTAATTCACTCTGTAGATCAGGCTGGCCTCAAACTCAGAGATCCTCCTGCCTCTGCCTCCTGAGTGCTGGGACTAAAACCATGCGCCACCACTGACGGCAGTGTTTGTCCTTTCTTTCTTTCTTTCTTTCTTTCTTTCTTTCTTTCTTTCTTTCGTTCTTGTTTTCTTTTTTTTTGGTGGTTTTTCAAGTCAGGGTTTCTCTGTGTAGCTTTGGAGCCTATCCTGGCACTCTCTCTGGAGACCAGGCTGGCCTCGAACTCAGAGATCTGCCTGCCTCTGCTTCCTGAGTGCTGGGATTAAAGGTGTTTGTCCTTTCTTATATGACTTAATTCATAAATGTCTTCAAGGTTCATCTATGGTTCTAAATTTGACAGGAGAATTTAGCCCATTGTGTGCAATCCCTACTTCTAGGCACTTTAAATGTATTAAAACAGAAAGTGAACTCACTCCCAGATCCATATTATGTCAGTTTAGGACATTTGCAGATTTGACACATTCTGCCCCTTCAAGAGATTCAGAAGTCCTTGAACAACATAACCACCTAGATAAAATGACTTGGAATTGTAGTGACCTGACACAGCTAAAGTCACATGAGGAGAAAGCCTCTGTTGACAAAATGCCTGCATAAGATTAGATATAGGCTGCTGGGCATTGGTGGCCCTCGACTTTAATCCTAGGACTCAGGAGGCAGAGGCAGGCAGATCTCTGTGAGTTCAAAGCCGACCTGGTTCACAGAGTTCCAGGACAGGCTCCAAAGCAATACAGAGAAACCCTGTCTCGAAAAACAATAAATAAATAAATAAATAAAACTATAGGCAAGCCTGCATTTTCTTAATTACTGACTGATGTGGGAGGGCCCAGCCATTGTGGGCGGTGCCACCCCCTGAGCTGGTGGTTCTAAATTCTATAAAAAAGCAGGCTGAGTAAGCCACGAGGGCCAACACAGGAAGCAAGCAGCATCCTCCATAGGCTCTGCATCAGCTCCTGTCCTGGGTTCCTGTCCTCACTGCTTTTGATGATGAACCATTATATGGAACAGTAAGTGAAATAAACCTTTCCTCCCAAAGTTGCTTTTTGATTTTTTTGAGACAGGGTTTCTCTGTATAGCTTTGTAGACCAGACTGGCCTCGAGCTCACAGAGATCCTCCTGCCTCTGCCTCCCGAGTGCTGGTATTAAAGGCACACCTGGCTCCAAAATAATATATATGCATGCAAGAAGTTCTCTTTATATATCAGTAACTTCATGAAGGCAATGCCTGGTCTCCGGCTGTGTCTGCATCCTCAGGACCAGTCTTCTATGTCAGGTACCAAGATAATGACAAACACCTGATGAACAAACCTTATTATTATGAACTTGGTCTTTCCCTTTGAAAGACTTTCCTAAACTCAAGAAAACTAGGCACACACCTGAATCTCAGCACTCGGAAGGCAAAGGCGGGAGGACGACCCTAAATCCACCTTGGTCTATATAACAAGTTCTGGGCAAACCAGGGGTACACAGCAAAGACCCTGAGTCAAAAAACAAAAGCAAAACCCAAGATGTGGCATTTCTAAATTTCACCTCACAGACTAGACAACTGAGACTAGGTGGTGCGGGGCGCTTAACCCAGCAGAAGGGAACGGAGAGGTCTGCGGTTCACTTCCCCGATTCAAGCTTAAGGGGGCCACGTGCTGACCTCACGCGGTTCTCACTCCCCTGCGTGCGTGCAATGAGCGATAGGTGACAGACAGGGAGGCTGCCTGCGCTTGTGGCTAAGATGGAAATCACGTCCGGGAGAGTCGCAACCATTACAAGGCCAGCAGAAGCCCGCGTGGGGCGCAGAGTGGATGCCGAAGCTCTGGGGTCACTCTGGGA